GTGAGCGGTGGCAAAATCTTTGGCATGCCAAAAAATTGCCGAAGGACCTTGCGATGGTTCATTTTCGTGTTGAATTTGTGTGTCCATTTTGCCCTTCGTAAGGCCATCGTGAGAGCATCTTGTTATCATCGGTGCCATCGGGCANGCAGACTGCCGACCACATAATCACCACCTGTCCTCTGTACAGACCTCCTTCAGAGGCTGGCCTCTTCCATGTGGGACCAGAGACGAGAGCGTGGCTTTGTGACACTGAGCTGGACATATGACGACGAATGCCCGATGGCACCGATGATAACACGAAGATGACACGACTTGGCAAGAAGCCCTCACGGGTGCCTTACCAACTTGCCGCTCAAGAAGTTGCTGCCGGAGCGTGAGAAACTCCACCGGCGGTCATACGATGGCTTAAGATGCCCTCACGAATGGCCCGATGTTGCTACGATCAGAGCCGAATTTGATCGTGTGTCCATCGGGTGTCAATTTCGGGACAGTGTGACAGGGGCTTTACTGACGATTTTTAGGCACTGTTTGGATGTCGATTGATTGCATCCTTGTTAGAAAACAACCAGCACTTTTATCCTAAGTAAATCCTGCCAATTAGTCCCTTTCAATATTTAAAGAGCATGATCGTTGTGTGTTGTTCCGTCTTGAGTGGGTTGCTATAATGCCAGTAGCAAAAACAAATCTACATATACTTCAAAAATAAAATACATATACATTATAGGTGCCCATACCCAATATACTTAATGCTAACAAATATAAACAGGTCAGATAAACAGCATACATTTACTGTATATGTATATTTGTATTGATGTACATTTAAAGAGGGCAATAATTTAAATGGTAGACCTTTTTTTTGTCGACACATTCACTGATTCCAGCTTTTATTTTGTTTTCATTCTCCGTTACTGATTCTCTTTACATTTTTGGGCAGACATATCCAATTTGAAGATGGCACCTTGGAGATGGAAGACTTTTTTCGGTATTTCTTTAAAATGTTATGCAAACGATTAGTAAATTAATCAGGAAAATAACACATTAATGCACAGAATACCAACAACCCTTTTACTCATTACTTTGAATACCTAAAACAAATCTCAGTTCATTCAAATGTTGACATTTTGTAGAAGTTTTGGTTTCTTAGACGTGCAATCAAAGTAGCTTTTATTGACGTTTAAATGCATCTCTAAACTTTTAATTTGGAGCCCATGTGACTCGTGTTTCCTCTCCAGCGTTCACAGCTCTTTAAAATCTGTTTATCCGTCTAAGATTTTAAAACGAGATAAAGAAAGTCTTCTCACCGTTTGCCGAGCAGTTTGAGCGCCATGAGGGAGAAGATGAGGAGGCTGAACATGAAGAGCAGGAAGACGTAGAAGATCTGAGGCAGAGCGTTCCGGATGCTTCTGAACGCCCTGCGGAGCTGAACACAAACAAACAAACAAACAAGCAGACTTTATGAAGGAGGACACGAACGCTGCATCCAATCAGAGGAAAACAAACTAATGATGCCTTCAGGCGCCGTCAGCTCAGAGGCAAACATGTCCACGTTTAGCAGCAGGAAGTTTAAACTAGACATTGAAGATCCTGAGATAACAAATAAAAACAACAACATGTGACGGTTTACCTGAGAGACACCTGCCGGCATGAACGTGAGGACAAATATGGAACAGTACATGTCCCTTTTTTGTTTATTTAGAGGAAAACTGTTATGTCTTCTGTCAGGTTGGGTTTATAACTGGTGAGACATTTTTCTGTATAAAGATTTTAAACATCTCCCTGATTATCAGAAAAACCAGTATGCTATATAATCGCAAAATATGATGACTATATATGATGTTTGTCTCTTAAAAAACGTGTTTCTGAAAGATTACATCTGTAAAAGTATCAAAGCTTCCTTTGATATTTTTACTTAGGGCCTAAAGCATTATATTTTATAAGACAAAGGGTAAATTAGTGTTAAAATTGGCATATTTGTGTATCTTTACTGCTGATTTCCTGTAGTGCTTTGACCATATGAGTCTCTGATAGGTCCTAACAATAAAGTGTATCTGTATTGAACAAAAACTGGAAAGAATACCAGATTGCAGCATTCAGTCAGTCAAAGCATTATTCTAATACAAGACAAAGTTTCACTATTATTATTAATTTACTTAATCGACGATTCATTTGTAATGGAAGGAGACATAACTGTGACATCAGAAGAATAGAAAGAAGTGTGTGTCCTTTTCTGACATTGCTCCAAATGAAAGTGGGACTACTGTCTGTGGCTTCAGAGGTGTGAGACAGGTGAGACAGGTGAGACAAGTGAGAGAGGTGAGACGGGTGAGAGAGCTGTGAGGGGTGAGACAGCTGTGAGGGGTGAGGGGTGAGAGAGCTGTGAGGGGTGAGAGGTGAGAGAGCTGTGAGGAGTGAGATAGGTGAGACAGGTGAGACAAGTGAGAGAGGTGAGACGGGTGAGAGAGCTGTGAGGGGTGAGACAGGTGAGAGAGGTGAGAGAGCTGTGAGGGGTGAGAGGTGAGAGAGCTGTGAGGAGTGAGAGAGGTGAGACAGGTGAGACAGGTAAGAAAGGTGAGACAAGTGAGAGAGGTGAGATGGGTGAGAGAGCTGTGAGGGGTGAGAGGTGAGACAGGTGAGAGAGGTGAGACAGGTGAGAGAGGTGAGACGGGTGAGAGAGCTGTGAGGGGTGAGAGAGCTGTGAGAGGTGAGAGAGCTGTGAGGGGTGAGAGAGGTGAGACAGGTGAGAGAGGTGAGAGAGGTGAGAGAGGTGAGAGAGGTGGGACGGGTGAGAAAGCTGCGAGGGGTGAGACAGGTGAGAAAGGTGAGAGAGGTGAGACGGGTGAGAGAGTTGTTAGGGGTGAGACAGGTGAGAGAGGTGAGACAGCTGTGAGGGGTGAGAGGTGAGACAGGTGAGAGGGCTGGGACAGGTGAGAGGGGTGAGACAGGTGAGAGGGGTGGGACAGGTGAGAGAGGTGAGACAGGTGAGAGGGGTGGGACAGGTGAGAGGGGTGAGACAGCTGCGAGGGGTGAGACAGGTGAGACAGGTAAGAGACCTGAGAGAGAGCTGCGATGGGTGAGACGGGTGGGACAGGTGAGAGGGTTACCTGTCGCCCCTCAGTGACGTTGACCAGCAGCAGGGGCCTCAGGACTCTGGACCAGCGGACCCCGTAATAGTTTGTAGCTTTCAGCGCTCCGTAGATGATCATATCCACCAGAGTCAGCTGCACACACACAGAGGTCCAACACACACAGTTTCATTCATGTTCAGTTTAGAGATTCATTGTTATAATATATACAGTATATAGCACACAATAAATACATTAAAATATAACACAGCCCATTTCAGTCTCACATATTTCCTCAAGTGGAATCAGTTCTAATCTCTTCTCCATGTTTTAAATGTTTCCAATCTTCAGTCATTAAAACACTTAAAAAAAAGTATTGCAATATTATGTTCTGTAAAACTGAATACATTTTAGGAACACATCGTATACATTTGATGTTATGGTGGTGTGTTAGCTGGACTAAGACAGGTTTCCTAAAGAAATGGTTTTAATTGTTTTCTTTTAGCCATCGCAAAACTGTGAAATCTAAATTCTGTATCATGATATATAACATAATGCAATATTTTTCACCAATTAACAGCCCTAGCTAAACTAAGAGTTTTTAGTGTGGAACAATGCACATCGAATGATTAAAATAAAAGCTAAAAGAAATATGTCCGACTTCATCTTTACGATTACACAATCCCATCAAACTGAGATGATTATGTGCCTCTACGGTTATACTGTATCTAACACATACATTATAGACTTAAGTGCTGGTGTTAATTAATGTGCGATGTCCCTTAAACAAAGAAAAATATTTCCCTGCATCGACAGCACCGTCACACAACAGAAAACCAAGCTTCAATAATCTGACATTAAATGAATAAAAGTAAACAGTAAAACCAGACTTTAGAAAATACTGCTGTTTGTAATAAAAACATTCAGTGAGTGAAGAGAAAGAGCTTTCTGATTATTTCATGGATCCTGGAGTGGTGTGTCTCTTTGAGTAACCAGGAAGCCTTTCTGCTTTAAAAGGCGCTGACGAGGCGAATTCTCCGGCTAAAGGTTGTTTCACAACAACAGACAGAAAGTCTTCTCAGCAAATCCTGACTCTGCAGATCACAGGAACTCTGATCGCAGCAAAAACTAAGAAAGTGTCCGTTCAAACTCCCGTCACCAGGATATAACTCATCTGTAGCACAACACATGTTTCACTGGGATTATCTACAGATTCTCTCATTTAGGTCGTTCACATTAAGGCTGCAACTAACAAGTGTTTTAATCGCTGACCAATCAACTAGTTGTTTTTTCTTGTTTTCAACATACCATGTTTTTTAAATGTCTTGTGTCACCTAAAACTCTAAATACATTTAGCTTACTGGGACAGAGAAGAATAGACACCAGAAAATATTCCTATTTAAAAGGCTTAAACCAGAACATGTAAGAGTATTTTCTTAAAATCTTCAATCAAAGCAGTTGATTATTAATTGAATAGTTAACAACTAATCAAGAAATGTGAAACCTTTTGCAGCCTTGGGTCAGACTTCTGAACAGTAAGCACTTTAAACAAGTAGCACAAGTTTACTTTAAATAACTAAGTCTTATTGTTGTTGATTATTATGTATTCTTATTATGATGAGATCATCTTTATTGATCCCCTTAGGGACATCCAGGTGTTAATTATTTATAGTTTTAGAGTGGCCGGATGTCTTCTGTATATCACATCAATTTGAACTTCTGGTTTTTGGTTAGTTCTAATGTGGTTTGATCTGCTGTGTAAATGCTTTGTTGTTGTGCAATGCCTTGAGTGCTGCATAACAGAAAGGGTAATTGACAAACAGAATATTATATTTACAGATTTACTGAGATCAGTTTACTCCTCCCGGTTCAGTCGCCCCTTGATAAAAAAATTGCAAAAAATAACATATTTGGCTAACACGCGTTTATGATGCTATGATGATTTTGGAGCGTAAATCCAATGGCCAGAAGTAAAAAACTAACATTAGGCTGGAAAGGAACTACAGCACGGTCACATGACTTCATGTCACCATCGCTAAGCTAAAGGCGGCTAATGTCCGGCGTCATGTAGTTTAGAAGTCTAATTTAGCAAAGTGTTACTGTAGCAACGGCTGCTTCTATTACGCATGCAAGATTCAGACATTCACCAGTGGAGTATTTACTGACGTATTTGATGTCGTCAAACACAACGTGACAACCTTGTGTTAACCACAGACCTTATTTCAGACAAAACAAATGTTAAAGAAAACATTGACTTCAAGACAAAGGAACTAGAAGTGTTCAATTTCTAACTAACTTCTTGGTTTCAGGACTTATTCCTGCACCTCTCTATCAGCGCCTCTTACCACGATGATGACGATGATGCAGATGTTTTTGGGGTCTTTCCAGAACTTCTCTCGAGGGATCACTTTGGCGTAGTGAACGATCCGAATGGTGAAGACGAGCAGACAGAGCAGCTCCACCAGCATAGTGGCCTGAGAACCCAGAAACACACACACTGATGAAACATCTGAATTGAACACACACTGCACTCTGGTGTTTGTTTGACTGGTTTCCTTGGAGGCTGATTGTGTTGCACCTGCTGACTTTTGATACATTTGAATTAAACAATAAAGCCTTGACAGTGATGACTAAATGAGATGCTTGTTAATTAATATCTTTGACAAGAAATCAGAATATACTGTAAATCCTAAAATTATGTTTTTGACAGATTTGTTACAAAACCGGCAGACAAAGCTTCTTCTACCTGACGGACGAATGCATGTTCTTCTTGCAGTGATGTGCACATTAAAAAGAGGAAGTGTGAAAGCAGGAAAGCGTTTTGGTGTCAGTCAGCAGAAACCGTCTCACCCATGTCGGCAGAGGGAACACGGCCGGGTCCTCGAAGACGGCCAGAGACAGATCGAGCAGGATGAAGAAGTAGAGGAGCACCTGAGGGAGCCAGTGGTTGTAGCGCAGATACAATCTGAAACACACACACATTTTAAAACAAAGTGGAAATGTTGAAGCTAAAAGACGACGTTCTGCTGAAGAAACAGATTTATTATTGAAGTATAACATGGCTGTTAATCTCTATTTCTATTACCTTCATTATTGTTTTGACTTAAACCATCAACGTATCAGTGCATTGCTAAATATAAGAGATGCAAACATTAGTTGATTGACAGAAACATTGTGGAAACTGCAAGAAAAATGTTTTTCAGGATCTCAAATATGGAAGTTTATTTTTTTTTTTTAGGGTTGGACATGTTCACTTTTTTCTGACATGTTTTAGACCAAATCGTTAAATAGATAATAATCAGTAGATTGATCAATAATACAAATAAATCATGAGTAGATCTTTAAAAACATAACATAGTTGCTTTAAAAAAGGGCTCTGTAATCCCCTAAAACATCTTCTCACTGTCGTTTTTTATCAAACAAAAACTGGTGGAAGTTGAGTGTTTGTAAAGGAACTACTTTCTGCAGCGGATTAATATACATTTGGTCAACATAAACTACACAGTTCATGTCACCCAATGCAAAAATGTGTTTAATTGATGTGTTTTTAGGACAGTAATGGAGCGCTATGGCACATACTAATAATACATACAAGGCTTTATTAGACAAAGGATATTTACGGTGGATTCATTCATGCTTTCTTTTAGTGTGAACATAAGGAAGAATATCACCAGGCTTGCACATGTGACGTTCAGTATCCCTGCTTCTGAGATTTTAATTCACTATAATGTTGATTTAAAACTAGCGGGAGATAAAACTCCTGATTATAAATAAGAATATCTCACCTCACAGCTTCAGGCGACGTGTCAAAGTAAATGTTCCGGTTGTATTGAGCGTCCGACACATAGATAGCAGCCAGGTCGAAATCCTGAAAAACATAGACTTATTAAATTCAGAGTTGTAATGTAGAGGGGTGCATCTCATGGGTGGGGACCATATAGCACAAGAAAAAAGAAAGACATCACAATGAAAAGAAGCACACCAATTAAGAGTTAGTAACTACTAAATACCTCAAGTTCTTTCACCTTGTACTTTTACATAGTCCACTGATACATCGAATAATACCCTACAGATTCATTGACAAGTGAAATAATGGGGTGTTGCAGAGACTGTAAAGGTGTTCCTGTAATAAAGGGGCCTCTGAGCGTGTGATCTTGTCTGACTTTGTGATTTTAACACTGTAAGGAATTTAAAAATGGTGAAAACTTATCTTAATCCTTCACACGTGTTACAATAACTCCTCCAGACTCTTTAAAACTGTTAAAAGTAATGCCAGGTGTCCGTCTTCAGTCCCCAAAGTGACTTAAAGCAGCAAAAAAAAGAACAGGAAACACAATCTGTCATATCAGAAAGGGATACAAGTACTAATACCACACTGTATAAATAAATACTCAATTTCAAGTAAAAGTACAGCACCGAGAACGGCACTTAAGTAGCATTTATGTCAAATTAGGAAAAGGTACTTAAAGTATTAGTAAAAGTACTCTTTTTTAAATATTTTAAAACAAAAGCAGCAATTCACATTTAAGAAGCTGGAACTGTGAAGTATTTTTGAACAAAGAATGTCTCAGGAGAATTACAATCAATGAATTTTCGGTTAACCCACTCATGGTTTTATTCATATGTGGGAGAAGTACTCAGATCTTGTACTTAAGTAAAAGTACCAGAGTAATCAAATCAAATCAAGTTTTATTTATATAACACATTTTTAAAACGATTTTTGGTCGAGCCAAAGTGCTGTACATACAGTAAACATACTTTACAATAAGGACACAAGTAGGAATCTTGTAACTTACAAGTAAAAGTCCTGCATTACAAATGTTACTCAAGTAAAAGTAGAAAGGTATTATCATCAAAATAAACAAGTATATCAAGCTAGTACTTAAGTACTTGAGTGAATGTACTTCCCACCTCTGGTTTGGGTTACCTACAGATAGTGTTGGATGGTTGAATCTATGCCAAATAATCATATTTGAAAAGCTTTTCACAAGTATTGTGTGTCAGAATCTGAATTAGTAAAGTAAAATATCAATAAATGTAGTGGAGTTAAAAGCACAACATTTGCTTCCAAAATGTAGAAGTAGCCTATATTACAATGATAACACTCAGGAAAAGTAACTCACTTGTGTACTGAAGTACAGTACTTAGTAAATGTTTAGTTACTTCCACCTCTGGAGAGCAGCTGAGACCTGACTGAGTTTAGAGTTTTTTTATTGCAGTGGTGACTTTATAACAAACTTTTACTGAGAGCTGGAAGTGACTTCTTCTCTGTTTAATGAGGCAAAAGTCCACCAGTTAACTGCTGTCATGTGAAACAAACAGACATGTGTAACCAGTGGTGTAAAGTAACTAGGCATATCAAGTACTGTACTTAAGTACAATTTCGATGGACTTTGTTTCCTACTTCGTACTGCTACCCAACAGCAATTCAGAGGTAAATCATGTATTTCTACTCCTTGTATTTAATACCTTTAGTTACTTTACAGATCTGGATGAATGATGTGAAATACAATCAACTCTTAAATCAGACTTTAGTTCCACCTGGAGTAAATTCACAAGCTACCCTGCAGTATACAAAGTCATTCAAACTAGCTGCACCTTTACCAGCTTTGATAACACTTTAATGATCAATCATTATAAAACAAATATTATATATTATTCTGAAATTGACCAATCTGCACAATGAGTACTACTACGTATATTTTGATGCTAATACTTGTGTACTTTTACTTGACTAACATCTTGAATGCAGGACTTTTACCTGTAACAGAGTATTCTTACACTCTGGTACTTCTACTTTTACCTAAGAGTACTTCTCCCCCTCTGTGAGTAACAAACCCTGGTCCATAGGAGCATCAGCTGATTGTTTGCACTCTGGCTCACCTCTTTGGTTTTTGCAGCATTCCCTCCGTTAGGAATTCCTTTTCCTTTTCCTGCAGACTCATCTGGAATGTCCTCAATCTTCTCTGGCTCGGACATCCTCAAAACTTTCAACACGACTCTCCCTCCCCAAAAAAACGACTTTCCAGAAGTTGTTTTAACGCAAAGAGTTTCCAGTCCTCAGAGTTTGTGTCTCTGCAGGAAATAAGTCCAGTCGTGTCTTCCCTCTCAGTTTGAGTTGTAATCGTCCATCTGTGCGGGAACACATCACATGTTTCCTCTCTTCTGCTCTTCAGAGGGACAGTCTGCCTCCATCAGCACAGACTGACTGATCTGTGATCTGATCCTCTGTTTGAGCGCCTCTAATAAACCAGGGAGCGTGATGCCTTCAGGGACCGGAGGAAATGTGGAGGGAAAAGAGACAATGAGCGACGTGGACCGTGGTATCAGGGCTGCATGACACTAAAACATTTTTTTTTGCTGTACAATAATTTAACATTTGAAGCTTATTACATCCCTTTTTACATTCAGAGCTATCCCAGTTTTTTTGCATTAGAGTCTATCACGAATTCTAATAATATTTTATTTATCTTTTTTTTTTAAATATATATTGAATGAGCATCGATGGAGGGTGGCCTGAGACTGAGACTTATGCCTGAGACCCACTATTTACAATGCTGTTTCACATTGTTGTGTATGTAGTAAATAAAAGCTTTAAACTTTAAAAATGTAATTCCTCGACACTGGGAACCAATGAGCATCAATACATATATTTATTTATTTCCTATTTATATATTTTCTATTCAATTTTTGCAGCAAACTCTGAGAAGCTGTTTGTCATATAAACTGTCAATTCAACCATTTCCAAATTGGAAAATGTAAACATATATTTATTCCTTTAATACTTGATCACCACTTTTCATTAATTTACTATTTGCACGATTTATATTTTTGTGATTTTTCTATCTTTAAAAATCTAATTCCAAAATGTTAAGGTTTAGGGTTAGGGTTAGTTTCATCTGTTTCACTGTAAGAAGCTCGTGTGTTGCAGCACATACGGGTATTTGGAAGTAAAACATCTGTTTTGGAAGTAAACATCTGGGTGCAGTCAATTCGTTTTTGGGCTAACGGTTGTTTCTCGAACTTTATTTGGTGACATTGAATGCAGCACAAGGTGTCATGTGATCCGTGACTCAAAGCATCTGGATAACGGAAACGGAGAGAGGGAGACGTTTAAAGACCAAAAACACTGAATGGAAATGTGGACTGTAATAATTGTTTACACAATAATAAGAGTATCTGTGTCGGCACAAATGTGAAGAATACATAATAAAGGATTATTTAGTTTTTTTTACCATTGGACAGTGAAGGTGCAGAGCATGCAAACGATTACCTGCACGTCACAATGGACACGTAAAACATCTGGTTCTGTTGAAATGAAACACTTGAATGTCTATATCGTCTATAATAAAGCCTATCTTTAACAAAAACTGTTAATCTGATAATTAACTTTGCAATTACAAGTAATCTCTCAGTTTCTCTATTAGAGAGACTAATTGAATAGGACTCTGTACTCTAACTTGTGTGTCAATAAAAGTCATTTTCCCCCCTTTGTTTTACCACCACATAAAGAGGCAGTGTGCAGGACTTAGTGGCATCTAGTGTTGTGATTTCAGCATTGCAACAAACTGAATACTCTCATGCATTTTGGGTTTTTATAATGTAGTATTTGTGAGGATCTACAGCCCCCTGCTGGTCACTCTGAAATCATCATAACCAATGGTTCCCAACCTTTTTCTTTAAAAGTCCCCCCACACATACCTGTCAGATGCATCCTGGGACATCTTCTTTACATCCATCTGTCCAAACTTGTCATTGAACACTTATATATTTTATTTACACTTGTATGCAATATAGTTACAGTATACAATCACAAATATCCCTTTTTAAGTGTGTGTGTGTGTTTGTGCAAATGTACACTTTTAATTATAATGGCAGAAGATAGGGTACATACCATAATTCAACCATTTATCTATTTTAACTTTATTTCTTATTGCTGGCTTGCCTACTTGTCATGCACTCACACACATATGATTGTCTCGTTATGAATATCACAACAAACTATACAACACACTGCAGCAAAGGGAAAACCCCAAGATTTTTTGTTCAGGGGACGACCCCGATTTATTTATTATACACACATACATGAATTGGATTATTTCCTGCACTTTATTTTGTTATTATTGTATGTATGTATGAATGCTTCTTCTTCTTCTGCGTGTCTTTGTTGTCTGTTGTCTATTCTGAATGTTTTGATGGCACCTTAAAAGGAGTATCTTTACTCTTCTCATTTTACTTGTATAAGGACAATACATTTTACTAGTGTAGTCTAATCTAATCTACTCCAATAAAAACTTCCAGACAACCAAGACATTTCAAACATTGTGATTTATTGTGGTTTAAATGTAGAAAACAGTATAAACAGAAAAACTTGAAAAGGTATATTGAACACAAAAACAATATGTGATTTGCACCACCCTTCAGTCACCAGAAAAAATGTCAGATTTCACCAATATATAATATATATATATATAGAGAAGTTGTAATCCATCTTTGGTTCATTGGAGCTTTCAGAAATAATGGATGATCATTTGATGTTTACATTCAAATTATACATAAAGTATAAATGTCCTTAGATGTTATTAACATGAAACAAAGTGATGGGACAGAAAATACACACCAAACACACAGAACACAAATATTGAAAATCTTAAATCTTGAATAAAACTTCATGTTAAATGTTAAGGTGAAGAGGATGGACACATTTGGATGATTACTTCACACAATACAATAATACATATAAAGGCAGAAATCACAAAATTAAACCCTAAACCCTTTTTTTTTAATCCTTAAATTTAAATATAAGCATTGAAGCATATCCCCTCTGCAGATACATTAGCAGCAAACAGCGTGTAGGAACTTAACACTTTATATAAAATGATTTAATTTGAGCTTCAGCTGATCTGATAAAGTATCTGAATAAACCATCAAAAAGTAAAATATACACTGAAGTTCGAGGAGATATTTAATTTATAATTAACTAATATATTTTATTCTAACAATCATATCAAACTATTTTGTATTTATTTATTCTATAAAATAATTAAAACGGTGTATTTCTCTTATATAGTCACTCTTTAAATAAAGTGCAATTTAAATGTTATCAGTCAGAAATAAGGCAAGCTGTAACAAATAATGTTTATGATCAATATAAGGTGCCAAAATAAAATCTGAATTATATATAGTTTACAGTTGAGATTTCATCAATAATATTTAGTATGAATGCTTTTTATATATTCTAGTTAATAGTACAATCAAGACATATTCAAAGTGTCATGGGTTGACCCAAGTTATAATTTGGTAGTATATAAATTAGGTTGACTTTTATTATTAATAATTCTCTTTGTAAACATACTGCTGGATGAGTTGAACATTCGGTCCGAAAAAAATGAATCTGTGAAACTCTTTGAGGCAAATTAATTGATTCTCCAGCATATCTTTGAATTTCCACATTTATAAAAAACATTATTTTTGTTTGCTTATCTCCAACATACTGTCTGTCACAGTGGAGTGGTAAAATGATAAATGTCTGAATATCATATATTTACTTGTATATACTACTCGTATAGAGTCAGATTGATACCACTCTCATGTCTGTATGGTACAGTATATCCAACATGAGACCAAAGTTAATCCAAACTATAAACTAACATTAAGCTAAAAATTAAGCTAACATCAAGCTAACTTTTGGCTAATGTTAAGCTAACATTAAGCTAATGTTAAGCTAACATTAAGCTAAAAATTAAGCTAACTTTTAGCTAATGTTAAGCTAACATTAAACTGAGAATAAGCTAACATTAAGCCAAGAATAAGATGATGTTACGCTAACATTAGGCCAAGATTAAGCTAAGAATAAGCTAACGTTAAGCTAACATTAGCGGCTCATTTTTTTTATTTGGGGCATTTATTTTGCAGCAACCAGCCAAGCCCATTGCAAACGGTTCTGTTACTCAAAGTTTATTCTCTTTTAAGGTTTAAAGTGATAACGTAATAATACAAGCAATAGTAGCCTACATACAGTAAATCTAATAAGCATAATACAGACTTTTTATTACCAGATTCTCTCAACTGGAATACAATAAAATGCTGTAAAATCTGCCAGTGGCAGTTCTAATATCAGATAATGAGATCCTGCTTTTGTCTGCTCTCAAAAGACCCATTGTTTACAAAAGAAATAGGTTTTGAAGGTAAATCTGGCCCATTTTTCGTTGTAAACAAACAGCGTATGACAACATCAAGCTTGACAGACAAGGTAAAGTAAAAGGTTGATATGAAGCGCTTCATTTTTTCAGTATGAAGGTTTCTTCGTGTCACTGCTGCACTACTAAACGTACATTTTGAGGTACTATCAATGTGGTTCTGCTTTTGAAGACTTACTGTATCTCCAACAGCAATACCGTGACAATGTAATATTGCTTTACCATATTCTGTTGAACCACAAAGACGTGTGTAATCATATGACTGCTCAATATTTTTTTTATAAAATCTCTGTTCATATAATGAAAGTACAAAAAACAATGTTGAAGGTAAAAGACCATAATTAGAAAATCAAGATCTCATCTTGTCCTCAAACATGATTGAGGTTGTATCAGTGACTGCTAAGGCATGCAGCCATTCTCCCTTAAATGTATTTCCTAAAACATTCGTTAACTGTCCTTCTTCCACACCAATATTACAATTTCCTGATCCCAAACCCGACATAACCAAGACCGACACTACCTACAACTAGACAGAAGCCGTGCTTACTAACACAGACAGATAAAGACGAACTGAAGGTTTCCACATTTCGGAAAATAGGCTGATGTGGTGTTTAAAAGTCTCATTGGTAATCACTCAGGGATGTTTTTTTAAACCCAGTGAGAAATGTTATCTCTTTTCATCCTTAAATCAAGTAAAGATGTGTGTAAGTTCACAATTTTTCATATAATGAAAGCACAAAAACAATGTTGAAGGTAAAGGGTCATAATCAGAAAATTAAGATATCATCTTGTCCTCAAACATTATTAAGATTCTATCAGTGAATCCTGGATTAGAAAGACTGCTAAGGCATGCAACCTTTCTTCCTTACATTTATCTCCTAAAGGATTTATTCATTGTTTTGTTTTTGAAATACAACTTCCTGATTCCAAACATGACGCAGCTGACTGAAAAGTCAACTTAACCTGTTCTAAGAAAGATAAAGATTTCCAGATTTCTGAAAGTAGGCTGATGTGGTGTTTGAATGTTTGATTGGTATCAGGGATGTTTAAAACCAGTGAGAAAAGTTAGTTTTACAAAATAAAACTCACAATGAACTTCTGATATGGTTATGACCTGTGAAGCTCAGATGCTAACATCCAAAACTACATACCTTTTAACTAAAAAGCGTATTCTAAAACCGTTAAATGCTGGCCTGTGGTACTCGTAGTTTTCTTGAGAACCACTCATATAAAATTCACACTCCACATTGCACTTCCTCGTGTCCTGAGCGAACCGCGCCATTCACCTCGTCCAACGTGTCTATTGCATTGACTTTGTGTGTAATCGCGAGCAAAAATGTGGCTTCTTGTTTGGTGTGAACACAGTTAGTAGATCCAGCAAACATTTAACATTCGTATATCCAGCGTTTATGCAACTTTAGCCTACCCAGCAGCATCCATATCGTTAGTATATCCAGCAACCAGCAACACAAGTGTTAGTCAAAACAGTAGTAAATGAGCCGCGGTCTGCACACGATATCATATGGTCGACTCAATCTGAAAAGCCATACGAAGTTAAACTATTAATTGCGTGTCAAAATTGCACCAAAGGAGTTATTGCATATTTTTAATTTATGTCTATATAAATATGTTTTTTTTTTGTTCAATGGAAGTGCAAATGTCAAAAAAACGAAATTTCCCCGTGGGATTAATAAAGCATGTTGATTGATGTACAGCAATTCTATAAGTTATGAAATGCTATTGTCCACCAACCCTAGTTTTAAAAAGGTTTGGGTGTACAAACAGTGCATGAATCCTTTAATAATCACACCATTTCCATCATATCCATGAAACCTGGTAAGCAAATCCATCTTTATGCTCTTTGACAGAAATTGACAGCATCTGATAATTATTTTTTGCTTTTTTTAAATAGTTCATGACCCCAGGCAGTAGATAAATATTTAGACCCTCACCTGAACACGAAACCTGAAGGACAGAAAAGTGATTAAAGAATATTTCCAACACTGATGATATGACGATTGGTCTCTACTTGTAAACAAAGCTCAGTTAAAGTGGTTCATGTGATTTGCTGGTGAACACATTTATACGTGTGTTAACTTCACAAGCCGTAAATTGCAACCTTCACATCTAAAAATAGAAAACATACCAACCAAATCAAACATATCTCCTCCTGGAGCCTTGTTGACTTCCCTCCTGCAAATCACAAAACCAATATTCTCTGAGCGTTGTCTTCGAATGTATGAAGAGTCTGGCAGGAGACACAGCAGAAAGGAAAAGTAGAACCAAGTTAGGAGAAACCTGCTGAAATCCAGCCTCCATTCTCACAGCAGTCTGGGCTTTAATGGGTTGCCCCTGACCGAGGAAAAGGCCCCGATGTGGTTGATGAGGTTGGGCTCCACGCTGTGAGCCCTTTCCCCGGGGATCGTCCTCGCCATCTGATACAGAACAATGTCTTTGGCGTTCCCCTTGGCGCAGAACGAGCCGTCCAGATACTCCGCCGCCCTGAGCGAGGAGTTCCCGGGGAAGAGCATGGCCGGCGTGCAGCACTCTGTTGCCGGGGAGACGGCGTAGAGCTGTGGGGAAAACCTCCGAACCTCCAGCAAGTAGTGCCGCCCCAGAAGCTCGATGGCAGCCATGAAGTAGAGGGTGAAGAAGAGGAGATGGGTGACCGACAGCGTGAAGGAGAAGGAGCAGGGGTTCCAGTAAGAAAAGCTGAGGAGAAGAGCCGTCGCTCCAACAAGTCCGAGTCCGACCCACTCCAGGATACGGTAAGGCTCGGGGTTCCAGTATCGCTGCAGCCTCTCCGGGTGATACAGCTTCACGTAGAGAGTCTGGAAGGCAAACGTACGGGACAGCAGGTGCTTTACGACGGTGAAGAAGTCCTGTTTGGGCAAAGCGTCGTCCTCCAGGACCACGATGTTCTTGGGCTGCACCAGCTCCCATCCCTTGCGGAGACAAAACACGTAGTCTCTCTTCTCCCTCTCGAAGGTGTTGACTGAATCCCTGTTCCTCCGCTTCTCCAGAGGGGAACGCCGGATCACCTTGAAGTAGTCCTCGAGAATCTTGGCATCTTGGTTTTCCTGTGGACCGCTTTCCACATCGCAGACCAACACCTCTGCACACCGCTGCGATCCACAGCTTTCCAGAAGGCCGCTCATCTGTCGCATCACCTGCAGCAGGTAGTGGAAGTCCCGCCCCTCATTTCGTTGCACTGAAACCACGATAACCAGCAGCTCGGGGTTCTGGGCGATGTCGTTGAACCTGGACGATGCTGTGGCGGAAGTGCTCTGCCAGAACTGAAGCGCGTCCTGGCCTCGGACAAGGCCTTCGTGCAGGACCTCCTCACTCATGGAGTCCAGGTACATAGTCTTGATGAAGTAGTAAGAGTAAAGCAGGCGATGGCAGCACAAAGGGAGGATGACGCAAAACGTGATGACGGACAGGACCAGGGCTTGAGTGACGGTGTTGGACCATCGCAAGTGTTGACTGAACAGCGTTTTCCATCGAGGCATTGATGTAATATGCGGCTGGAAGCACACAAATGAAAATAAGAGGTTCAGGTCAACATTTGCGTCGTCCCAACAGGAAGCTTGCTTTAGAAAAACCCTCAGCGGTGAAACCTGATGAACTGAGGGCTGTGTGGAGAACGATCAGGTGTTGCCATGTCTTCTTGTAAACATAGATGAGAGTTTCAGCTCAGCGTTGGATCCCGTGCCTCAGCTCTGGCGTCTGGAGAAAGAGAAAAGAGGACGTTTTCTCAGTAATTGTTATCAACTGATGTTCCTTTGCAGCAAACATGGAAACCCACAGCCCCAGGCTACAGATCAAAATCATAGCCCGTGGAAAAGAATAACCCTGTCTTTCATAACCATTTTCATACTTTTCTTATGTGGATTTTGGCTATATTCTATAATAACAACTTTATCTATAAAGCAAGCAAATACAAAAAACGGATGTAAAAACAATCATATGGTTGACAGGACATTGTTTTACTGATATTCAATCACAACAATGGTTACGTGAAAGACCTGCAGACTGGCATACAACATTTGTCAGTAGCAAACAACAACATCAGGTGACATAGCAAACCAACAAGAGCAGCGTACACAAGCAGAAAGACAAGCGATACAAAACAGAAACAGCGAACAAGAACATGCATAGAACCACGTTAAGTAGCAGACAGACAGACGTTAGATAACTTCAGTGGTTAGGGAAGCTATATCAACAAGAATGGCCGTAATAGAGTTCTTAAAGGCTGACTTGGGGATAAAAACGTCTAGTTTCAGTATTTTTTGCAGATTGCTCAAGTTGTGGCTGCAGCAGACCAGGGAGAGGACCGACTGAATACTGTACTTGTTTTGGGAACTTTCCACAGGATACGGAGAGCAGATTTGGTGTTGTAAGTAGAAGATTTAGTTTGAAACAAGTAAAAAAGGAAGGGGGAGGGGAATGCCAAACCAAGGAGGTTTTTTTTAAAAGGGGCCCTACTATGCTCGTTTTCAGACAGGCCGTGAAACAAATGAGGGGGGAGGGAACACAGAAATGTTAGCCTCTGCAGGCTATTTAAATGCACACAAATCTACATAACACACTACAGGAAAGGGATAACCCCAAAAGCATAATAAGGCTCCGTTAGTAAGCATTAATGAATGAATATTACGTTTTGTAAAGATGGCCAGATAACGGAGGAATAAAGAGGGTAGTGGTTTTTGGATTTAAATAAACAAATATATCAGCTTCAAAGCAGTTTTATACAAGTGTGTTTTGAATATGCATTAATTCAGCAAGCCTGATTTCCTCAGACAGGGTCTTTCCAAAGTCTTGAAGCTCCAACAAAAAGTGCACAGTTGTTAGCTTACGTTTTTAGCGGTGACTTTGGAATGAACAACAGGATATATAAATATAAGGAGATGCTAACCCAGATAGGGTATTATATATATATATTAAAATCTAAAAAACACAGGAAGTAAAGGTAAAGTACAGTAGCTTAAATAGGTGTCATTTGGTCACATGTTTTCAGAGTTAAGTTCTGAGCTGCAGCATTTTAAGTGAAAAGATACGTGTGTGCAGGAAGTGGCAATTGTTGAGACGTGTTGAAACAAAAGCGTGATCAACTTTCGCAAGATCGGAGAATGGACACATATATTGGATTTGGTGATATTCCAAAACTGACAAAAACAGGATTAATGGAGTTAACATAAAATGGAAGTACAGTCTTAATGTTAAAAAAACATGTCATGTATATTTGATCACATAACGCTACAATAATAAACATGGCAGCTTAGATATGTCATGGGACCACCATATAGTTGGGGGTTTAATGCCTTGCTTACGGACACCTTTGCAGCTAAGCGTTACATGCATTTTTTCTTTTAATGTTTATTTTATTATCTTTTCTTTTTAATGACTGATTTTAAATGCCATTTTCTTAATGTCTTTCATTTTTTGTAAAGCACTTTGAATTGCCTTGTGTTGAAAGGTGCTATACAAATAAACTTTGCCTGCCCTAAACAATAGGTAGACCCTCCTTTAGACTGTTTTATGTATTTCTGGTTAGACTTCTTCGTCACAGTAGCCTTTGCACAATGACGAGAAACATGTCAACAATTGGGAAATAATCTCATCAGTCAGTTTGAAAAGGGGGAGGAATTACACCACAACTCTTCTGTCATTCATATGAGTGTGTGCTTAAGATAAGAGGGTACCTATGCTCCCAGGGTGCTTTGTTTCCTATCCTAATACTAGGTATTCCCCAGGGCTAACATGTTGAAATCACCTATACAGGATATGGCATTAAGGTTTGAAGGCTGTGAGCAAGATAGTATTTCTTGACTTTAAACATTGGTATCCCTACAGTCGCTGAATGGATCCTTTTACTATTGAAGCTGCATTTACAACATCCATGTCCTTGTTGAACCTATTTTACAAGTCTCTTAAAAATGTGGACCCTGTGAACTCATAGGCTACCTCCCTTAAGATAAAAACATGTTAACATGTCCTTTAAAAGGGGACAGACATACGGGTTTTAAACCTATAAATGATCTAACTCTTAAGAATATGTGCCCTCCAGCTATTTCACACACACCTACCTTTAAAGTCTGTTTATTATAAGGTATTTAATTTCTTTTAAAGCCACAAGTACGCTACATTAAGCTGAGGCGTGTTTCTGAATACACAACAACAATGAAAACGGACGACAGCATAATGCTAATGAATCACCACATTAATCCTACCACCGATTATCACATTACAGTTATATTAGATCAGACAGTAATTTTTTATTAGGATGTTTCCGTTACAATGTTTCCACAATGTTAGATAAAAGACCATCGTCCTGCTGAATAAACTCTGACATAAGAAAGGGGGTTTGGCAACAGCATAGCAGATATACACACAGACATTCTGGTGAAACAATGTGAAGTGTAATGGAGTATTTCAGGATATAATAACAGGAGAAGTAGACTCACGGTGAGTTGGAAGTAGCTGCTGTTTGCTGGCCGCTAGATAGAAGAGTTACGACAACGGAAGTCCATAAACGGTTATCGTCACGTGGTTCATGTAGACGAGGATCGTTCCCCGGAAGTTCATGGCGGGCAATGGGAATGCATTGATAACAGGAGATAGAACTACGATTTTTTGGTAATTATTAGTGAATAAAGGTTTTGATTTGCAATATTTATACAACAAATCGATATGTGTATGTATTTAAATCAATATGTTTTAAAAAATAAAACAGAATTTGCTAATATTAAGTGATAATATTAGGATTAGTGTGAACAACTAGTTTACATGTTAGGCTAACAGTGCCTTGGTTAAAGAGCCTGTTGCTGTTTTATAGCTTTGAATTCTTTAAAACCAATATTATCTTCTTAAACTTGTATGGTAGTCAGGAGCATCACTTTCTAATGTTTATTGATATATTTAGAGGGAGGGGATCTAAAGGAATGCTTCAAAATTCAGATTAGATTAATTTCTACCATTTTCTTAAATTCATGGTAGTTTCAGTAATCCCATGGTAATTGGGGACACAAGTTATCTAAATGACTAATGTCATCTTTATGGCTTTCAGAAAGGACAGGAGACCGACAGGTGACTATCAAAGGACTAGCAGCAGCAGCAGCAGCAGCAGCAGCAGCAGCATGATGATGATGTTAAATGTGTTGTTTTAGGAACATCCATTGCAAATACATGGAATTCAATAAACATTGAATAGCATATCATGCAGTTTGTCTGTGCCTTTTCCTCCGTGTTGTCCTGGTTTGCTGTGCTGCCTCCTAGTCGCCACCATGGTTTGCTGTGCTGCCTGGGGATGCTCAAATCGCTCCGAGAAAGGAGTACGAATGTACGGCTTCCCCACTGACACAGANTCCTAATACTGTGTATTCAACCACTATGGAATATGTATGTGGGCAGACAAAACTGAGTTGTTCTGTGTGTGAAGTAACCTCAAGTCACTTTTCGCAGGCACATTTGAATGCAGACCAGTTTGTCAAGAAAAAAAAGGGCAAGACTAGGCTAAGAGCA